TTTAGTAGAGACGGGGTTTCACCATGTTGACCAGGATGGTCTCGATCTCTTGACCTCGTGATCCACCTGCCTCGGCCTCCCAAAGTGCTGGGATTACAGGCGTGAGCCACCGCGCCCGGCCTAAAATTATTTTTAAGAAATAAGTTGCTCCTAAAGAGGGGATAAGTAGTAAATTTGAAGTGACTTTTTCTCAGAATGGGGAAGTAAGTCAGTTTTTATAATTTTTATGCCAACTGGAATATTTGAAGACTAAAATCATTATTTGAAATTAACTAGTTGTATCAGTCTACTTGGGCTATTGACCGTTAAAATAGGCTGTACGTATAAAAATCATCTTTCAGCCCAGGCTGGAGTGCAATGGCGCAATGATGGCTCAGTGGCCTCCACCTCCTGGGCTCAAGCAGTCCTCCTGTCTTGGCTTCCCAAAGTGTTGGGATTATAGGCATGAGTCACTGCACCTGTCCTCAGCATTATTTCTGAATTATCTCTATGGCTACCCCCAAACTATGATCCTATTTTTTTTAACCCCCGAACTATGAACATATTTTTTTAATGAGTTTATTTTTCCCACAGCATTCTCAATAACTCATACAACCCATGTGAAGGCATAGAGAAATTCAGAAATTCATTTTGCAATCTTAAAGATAACTGTCTATGTTATAACTACCATCCTAAGAACCTTACATAGTACAGCCAAAAGCCAAAGGGCCTTAGCTATAGAATCACAGAACCTGAAAACTGCAGAGGCCATTGGAGATGATCTAGTCCATCCCCTCATTTTATAAATGACCTTCTTTAAGCCGGTGAATGACTTGTATGTTTTCACCAAAATGTTTCATACTATAAACATTATTCTGTACTTTGCTTTTTTTTTCATGTCATAGGTACTCCTATGAGTTATAGATACAGACATATATCTTTTTTCCCAGCAGTTTTAGGTACATACTAATATATAAATTAAATAGGGTCATATGCTGGGTTTTATTTTTGCTTTTGTTTTGAGACAGAGTCTCATTCTGTCCCCCAGGCTGGAGTGCAATGGCGCAATCTCAGCTCACTGCAACCTCTGACCCCTGGGTTCAAAAGATTCTCATGCCCCATCCTCCCAAGTAGCTGGGACTACAGGCATGCACCACCATGCCCGGCTAATTTTTTGTATTTTCAGTAGAGATGGGGTTTCACCACGTTGGCCAGGCTGGTCTCAAACTCCTAGCCTCAAGCAATCCACCCACTTCAGCCTCCTAAAGTGCTGGGATTACTGGCGTAAGCCACCATGCCCAGGCTGATTTTGTTTTTTTTAATAGCTGTATGATATCCCAATGTACTCTGCTATTTCCTTATTGAGGGACATTGATTTTGTTTCCAGTTTTTTTTGTTGTTGATTTTGCCACTTAAAGCCATTAAACATCGTGTACATATTATTATGCACTGGAGTTTTATTTCTACAGTACAGATCGGTATATTCTAAATTTTTGCAGTCATTGCCATGTTGTTTTTGGAAAAGAGTGAAACACTACATTTCTACTGGGAACTCTCCTCCACTCCAACCCACTGATAGGTATTATTAATCTAAGGGGAACAAAGTGATGTCTTATTGTTACATCAATCTGGAGGTGGAACCTTTTCAAATGATTCTTGGCCACTTGTTCTTTTTGCAGCTACCTGGTTCATATTCTTTGTCTGTTCTTATTTGTTGTGTGTTCATATTTTTCATGATAATATAAATCCTATTTATAGTATCTTTTGACATACAATTTGTTTTCTACATAATCCTCTATATGTGTATACATATACATATATGTGTGTTTGTATGTTCATAAATCAGCAGTCCCCAACCGTTCTGGCAGCAGGGACCAGTTCTGGGAAGACAATTTTTCCATGAACTGGGGGAGGAGGGTGTGGTTTGGGGATGCTTTGAGCACATTACATTATTGTGCAGTTTATTTCTATTATTATTACATTGTAATATATAATGAAATAATTTTACAACTTACCATAATGTAGATTCAGTGGGAGCCCTGAGCTTGTTTTCCTATAACTAGAGGGTCCAATCTGGGGGTGATGGGAAACAGTCACAGATCATCAGGCAGCAGATTCTCATAAGAAGCGTGCAACCTAGATCCCTCACATGTGTGGTTTCCAATAGGGTTTGCGCCTTTATAAGAATCTAACACCGCCGCTGATCTGACAGGAGACCAAGCTTAGGTGGTAATGTGAGTGACGGGAGCGGCTGTAAACACAGATGAAGCTTTGCTCTCTCACCTGCCACTCATTTTCTGCTCTGTGGCTGGACTCCTAACAGGCCACGGACTGGTACCACCAGGGGGTTGGGAACCCCTGCCTTAAATCACAACATATAATCCTCTATAGATGCTATACCTTGTTTATTTTTTTTCCCTTAGCACTTACCAGAAACATTTTCCTGTGTGAATAAATATTTATCTACCACATAATTTTCAATGGCTGAATAGTGGTAGCCCATTATACAGATAAGCCATTAATATTAAACCAGTTCCTTCTAGTAGGTCATCTAGATTGTTGTAAAATATTGCCTATTTAAACAATGTGGGAACTATGTGTATCTCTGTGCCCATGTATGCTCATTCCTTGCATTTGAAGGTAAACTATTTTTATAAGAAGAAGTAGGGGCAAGTGGGAAGAAATATGCAAACAAATAGGCAGACACTCTACCATGACATGCTCAGGTATAGGAAAACTTCACATGTGCCAAAATGCATGTGCTTTACATATATTATCATGTGTTTTATTCATGTACTTAATCTCACCATCAGTTCTATTAGATAAGTGCTATTTTATATTTGACAAATGACCAAAGATAATAATAGCATTGCCAAGTGTTTTCTATGTGCCAAGTACTGTTCTAAGTGCTTTATCTAATTAAACTCATTTAATTATTTTAACTAATTTTATAGATGAAGAAAGTGAAGCAGAAAGAGGTTAAGTAACTTGTCCAAAGTCACACAGCTAAGAAATGCAGATCCAGGATTTGCACCCAGGCAATCTGTCTTCAGAGTGGGGCTCTTCACCACTGGCCACACTGCCTCTCCAGCAGGTTAGATGAACTGCACAGTCCTTCAGCTAGTCAGTGGCAGAGCCAGGCTTAGAATCCAGGTCTTGCAGACCCCAAAGCCCATGCCATGTGACTTGCTAGTAATAAACTAGAAGACAATGGGGTCTTTGATACCCAACAGAAAGATGAAATAAAAAGAATAAGCACATTTAAACTACCTTTATGTCATTCAGGAATTCAATGTCTTTCTTCTGTATCACTTTATTTGTCCATATTAAGGCACTGTAGGTCTTTGTCTTTTCTTCTTCACCTTCTTTCATATGTCCTATTGCCTCTCTAAACAAAAACAATTTGTAAAAGTTTGTCCGAATATATAAAATACAAACAAGTCTTGCCCTAAGTTAACCTTTCTTTAAAAATAGTTCCAATGAGATATAACTTACATATAATTTCCCAGTTTCAACTGCACAATTCAATGGTTTTTAGTATGTTTTCAGAGTTGTGCAGCTATGGTAACAATCTAGTTTTAGAATACTTTCATCACCCTGAAAAAGAAACTTTGTACCCATTAGTGTCACTTCCCATTATTATTTTCCTCCAGCCCCAGACAACCATTAACTGACTTTTCATCTCTATAGATTTACGTATTCTGAACATTTCATATAATGAAATCATACAGTATGCGGTGCTTGGTGTCTGGCTTCTTTCATTTCATAATGTTTTCAAGGTTCATCCATGTTGCCCCATGTGTCAGTACTTCATTCCTTTTTATTACCAAATAATATTCCATTGTATGGATATATCACATTTTGTTTATTCATAGACACTTGGGTAGTTTCTACTTCTTTGCTATTGTGAATAATGCTACTATGAATATTCATGTACAAGTCTTTGTGTAGACGTATGTTTTCATTTCTCTTGTATATGCAATATCTAGAAGTGGTTATGATTTGCATTTCCCCAATGACTAGTAATGTTGAGCATTTTTTCATGTGTTAATTGGCTATTCCTATATCCTCCCTGGAGAAATGTCTACTTGATCATTTCCCCATTTTTAATTGGGTTGTTAAGAGTTCTTTATACATTCTGGGTACAATTCCCTTGTCTAGATATATGACCTAGAACTGAAATATCTCTTTTGAAATAATCTCCAGTGAGCCTACACTTACCTTGTGACAAGCTGCAAGTCACGTACTTGGATTTTGTTAGATGAGTTATTAATTTTCTGTAGTAGCAGAAAAAGAAAAACAATTAGCAAGTCTAGCTCAGTTACAGAGTTGCAGAAACATGACGATTTCCATGTCATGAAGTGGTTTACCTGCTGAAGTTCCTTAATTTCTTGTGAAGTGAAATGTACTCTATGAGGATTCACCAGCTCAATTGCAAAGGGCCTTCCTGGCAGCACACACCCCGTCATGAAACAGAAACGTGTTGATGGAGTTAACATTTGGGCTAATGCAAGAGGGTTAGGAGGTGTGAAAATGGATTGAGCTCTAGAGGACTGAAAGTTTAGTGACATGACTACATCTGAGGGAGGGAAGAATGTGTGAGAAGAATCAACGGGCTTTTTGTTGGGGCAGAGGGGCTACTAGACCCCAGCACAGGCAGTATGTGAGAATGACTGCTTTCCCAAAGGTCCATGAACAAGCCTGTGTTAATTACAAAATGCAGTTCGGATAACCACTAATTAACTTGGTTACACTAATGCAAAGTTGTCACATGCAGGAATGCCCTGTTGAAATCCATCTAGTGATCCACTAGTAAAAGGGAAAAGCTTTGGTTCCATGAGAGGAAGGAACTATAAATCTCAGATAGTTCAGGATTAAATGTCATCCTCTTTCTGGTAATATAATAGGGTAAAATGAGGGACATGAAGGTTAAGACAGCAGAATCACTTTTTAAATAGAGATGTACATTTTGAAAACTGTACTGGTCCTCCTGAAATGTTATTAAATGAAACGATTAATAAACTTTTGAAAAAAAAAGCAAGCACCTTTTTGTTAATGTACATATAAGTCCCTTATAACCTACAGGTATGCAATCAGGATGGCCTCCGAAGAAATGATTCCTGTTAAGGTGTATTTCATATAATTCATAAAGGGACCTCTATAATCCACAAAGCTTCCTCCCTTGGGGAAGCTCTGGGCCTTGCTCACTTTGGTTTTCACTGAGTGACTATGCTAAGCCTGCTGTCTATAAAGTATGATAATCAGAAAGTTAGTTCTCATCAGGTGATGCTGTTGCCGTCTTACCATTTCCTAATGTTCTCACATCTACATCTTCTCTTCCAGAGGATGAAAAATTAAAACCTTTGAAAAGCAGATAAAGAAAAAAAATTAGAGACATAACAGCCCTAAGATATTCATTCCCAACCTTTGGTAGAAACCCAATTGAAGGTCTTCAACAATCTATAGGAGAATCTCAAGGAAGAGTCATCATCCCACCTCTAATGTCAATCTCTACTAAAAATAGTAATGCTAATAGTAAACACCATTTATTGAGCACTTATCATATGCCAGGCATTGGACTAAAAACATATATATATATATATTTTTTTTTTCTTTTAGAAATGAGGTCTTACTCTGTCACCTAGGCTAGAGTACAGCGGCATGATCATGGCCCACTGCAGCCTCAGACTCCTGGACCTAAGCAACCCTCTTGCCTCAGCCTCCCAAGTAGCTAGGACCACAAGTGCACACCAACACACCTAGCCAGTTTTTTAATTTTTGTAGAGATGAGATCTTGCTTTGTCACCCAGGCTGCTCTTTAACTCCTGAACTCAAGCTATTCTACTCCCTTGGCCTATCAAAGCACCGGGATTACAGGTGTCAGCCACCACACCTGGGCCATGTACTAGTTAATCCTTATTATAAGCTTATAAAGTAGGTATAAAAGAATGCCAGGCTTCAGAAAGTTAGGTAATGTTCCCAAGGTCACACAAGTAAATGGCAGAGCTAGGTGTTTCTGATGTTAACATCAGAACTTAACTACCATCCCATGGGAAAGCTGAGGCAGAGCGCTGTTTGGAAGAAGAACCCACCACCACCCTGGCCATAAACTTATGGTGAAAACTCTATCATCTTTCTTTCTTTCCTTAGAACAAAGCAAAAACATTTAAGAATTAAACTCCATGAAAGAAAAAGGAGGGAAAAAAAAGGTTTGACTCTAAAAAGCAAATTCATTATATATGTCATCAAACCTAAGCTGGACCCATGATAAAACCCAGTGTGTGCTCTAAGATAAATAGATCATCACAGACTAAAAGCTGCAAATATTGGAAAGGGAAAATGGTTTTTTAAAAAAAGGCAAGGGGCTTACTCAACAACTTTTTTAGATATAGAACTAGGCCAAGTGGGAAGTAGGAGTCTGTGAACCACTAAGTCCCAAAGAACCCTCCATTCTGTGTTTACACTACAGTGTCAAGTTACTAATAAATCCATAGCAACATCAGTATCTTCTAGTCAGAGTCAACAGACTCAAGCCGTAGCACTAGCAACAGACGATGGCCATTGCTCCGTGGTGAATTCAAAAACAGCCTCTGGGAAGCTGAAGATGCAGACTCCTTGGGGCTATGATTCGTCTTATACCTGCCTACCCCCATCTTCCAGTCAACCCTGTCAGGAAAACAGGGGGTCCACAGTGACTGAACAAGAACCTGTGACTGGTAGGGGTGAAGGGAATGAACAGGCCTCAAATAGTTAAGTCGGCTAGTAACTGAAGCAGCAGAAATCTCAAATTCATAAGTCGGCCATAAAACTTCCCACAAATTCCAGCTCATCAGTAAGAAAGAGGTACAGAAAACAAGGTCCTTGAGAAGGCCACCAAAGCATTTGATCCAGACCAAAGAAGAAGGCATATTTATTGATCTTTTAGAAAAAAATGTTTCAAACCTGAAAATTAAGGAAACATCCTTGGACCCCAGAGTGAGAGAAGCTTTGGGAGGCAAACCTGAAAACTTCTTAGTGTGCAATTATGAATAGCAGCTGACAAAAAAGGAAAAGAAGCCACTGCCTTAAGTACTAGAAAATATATGCTTAAAACTAAGTTGAGTTTTTTAAACTCA